CACAAGGTCGCCTCTCAGCCTTCTCTTGAGGAGGCTGAAGAGGTCCAGGTGCCCTAGTCTCTCCTCATAGGGCTTGGCCTGCAAGCCCTTAACCATCCGTGTGGCCCTTCTCTGGACCCTCTCCAGGTTATCCACATCCCTCTTGAAGTGCGGCGCCCAAAATTGCATGCAGTGTTCCAACTGCAGTCTGACCAGCGCCCGATAGAGGGGAAGTATCACCTTGGTTCTGTTTGTCATGCATCTGCTGATGCACGATAAAGTGCCATTAGCTTTTCTGATGACTTCGTCACCCTGACAACTCATGTTCATCTTGGAGTCCACTAGGACTCCAAGATCCCTTTCCGCTTCCGTGCCTCCAAGCAGGTCATTTCCTAGGCAGTAGGTATGCTGGACATTTTTCCTCCCTAGGTGCAGCACTTTGCATTTCTCCTTGTTGAACTGCATTCTGTTGTTTTCTGCCCATAGGTCCAACCTGTCCAGGTCAGCCTGTAGTTGTTCCCTGCCCTCCGGTGTGTCCACTTCCCCCCACAGTTTTGTGTCATCCGCAAACATGGACAGAGTACACTTCACTTCCTTGTCCAAGTCGCTGATGAAGACATCGAAGAGTATCGGTCCAGGGACCGAGCCCTGCGGGACCCCACTGCCCACACCCTTCCAGGTCGATACCGACCCATCCACTACGACTCTCTGGGTACGACCCTCTAGCCAATTCGCCACCCACCGGACTGTGTAGTCATCCAAGTCACAGCCTCTTAACTTGTTCACCAGTATGGGGTGGGATACTGTATCGAAGGCCTTCCTGAAGTCTAAGTATACGACATCCACCCCTACTCCTGTCTCCAGGCATTTCGTAACCTGGTCATAAAGAGACTAGATTAGTCAGGCATGATCTGCCTGCTACAAACCTGTGCTGGTTTCCCCTCAGCATATTTTTCCTGCCGGGCTCTCACAAATGTGAGCCTTGATCATTTTTTCAAAGACTTTGCCAAGGATGGAGGTGAGACTGACTTTCAAAGACTTTGCCAAGTATATCAGTTAAACTATTTTTCCAAGCAAAAAAACAACATACCTGTCCAGATTCACATGGCACAGCTCGTTTATTCTGAAGTTCTGCCAAAGACATATCAATTCTCCTGGCATAATAAGTAAACATGATAATAATGAATTAATAATGAATATACTGAAGTTAAAGAATTAACTGATTTTTCTCTTCTAACAACCATGGCCAACATGGTAATGCTTCTGACAATTACAGAGTTGCATGCTATAAAATTTACAGTTCCATTAAATGGTTAAAAATTCTGTTTATTTGCTTTTCAAGCTCATTAAACTGCACATATAACAAAACTTCTAGCTACTTTGTTCAATATAAACTGGAAAGAAATGTATTGATTACCTGTGAATTTCTGGATCTGAATGCATTTTGACTTCATTTAGGTTTGCAACTGGTTTATCTTGAATTCTGGAGAAGCGTTCATGCAATGTTAGGTCACAGGATGTAAAATAATTTGCTGTAGAGAAATATTAAATTCAAATGTGTTCACTTTATCCTTAACACTGCAACTGCACAACTACAAGTACTACTACTAAAAGATCAAATGTAAGAAGAGACCATCTGACATGAGATTAAGTTAAAATAATTTCTACTTGAAACTCAACTTACACAGATGAAAGAATACAGTTAACACACTGTGCTCTAGCCATATTAGAACTTTAGTATTTAAATCACATTTAATTTTTTATTAAATTAATCTCAAGAAACATAAGGATTTAGTAGCTTTATCAGTAAGACTTTAAATACTGGTTCCTATTGGTTTTCACATGCACTTTAAGGCAGCCAACAATAAAACAGATCTGAAAACTGAAAGCAGCAAATACACATTGCTTATACTCAACTTTGACTCAATTCCATAGCAGATCTCTTCCTTTTGGTCTCAACAGATATGGTATGAGAAGTACCAAACTCTCCAGGACAACAAATAGACCCAAAGCTCCAAACTGATCCATGTACTCTCTCACTGAGATCAACAGAATTCTACACAATGCAGAAGTGTTGCTCACCTATATCATCTCACAGGATTGAGGTCCAAGGTTTTGGCTCTTAAGGACAATACCAATCAGGCACCTTCTGTCCACCTGCCTGACTTTTCAGTCACTCTTCACTACTGACATGACTCACAATGCTTCACTTGCCTTGCATGATTCACACTGAGCAAAGCAGCGGTATTTTGCTGAATCCCAACATATTTAATTCATCATGTTCCTAACTTGTATCAAAACAGTAGATATTATTACCTTTAACTTGATGGATTATCATAATTATTTCCTGAGTAAATTCTCGTGATGGGTTATTTTCAACATTCTGTGGCACAGATTCCATGTGCTCAAAGACTGGATGAAAATTTTCATTTTTTCTGCCAACTGCAACCAGGTCATGTGACATCTGCCTCTCTGTGGTATGGCTAGAAGCAGCCCTAAAATAAATTTGCAAAGAGAATAGAACATTTAAATATTCTAAAAAATAAATAAATTAGAATCACAGAAAATTTAAAAAAGGGGTCATAATTGGAAAGATGGAATGAAATAACAGAAAGTCCTTACATATTTTAAATGAAACTCCACCGAAGGGATATGGGTGGCCAGGAAGAGAGTAGCAGGCAGGCTTTGTTTATCATAAGACAACATTTTTACAAGTCTTATTTTAATGAGTTTCTGATGTATAGATCACACTTTTATAGATTTTAGAAGTATGTAATGAACACAGAAATAAAATAAAATACATACACAGCAAAACAGGTATCCAGAAACTGTCATAACTACAGACTTTAAGGAGTGATTCTGGGTGGTAGCTGGCTATATCTCCATACCCTCAAACAATGATCTAGCATTTAAAGTCTTCTGATGGACCACTGCAGTGAATAGCTTTGGGTTTTTTTCAGAATGATCAGCTTGTTTGACATACAAGGGAAAAATAAATATTTGGTAGATCTTTACCAATAAATTTTAGTAATTATAAGTAGACCTGTCACATTTCCTTTTAAAGGCTACTTTAAAAGATATTACCTCTAAATTAATTTTTCTTCTAATACCCAGTACAATGAAAGATTTAGTCACTGAGAAAAACAGAAAATGAATGATATATTTAAGCATTCTGCGTACACAGCTAATTCTAAATAAGGTTTTTATTATTCTTGCTTTTCAAAAACAGAGTCTGAAACAGAGCGCATATTTATGTAGCTGTAGCTGAGATCTTGAAAAAATCTACTTTTTTGCCACTGATGAACAGGAAATGAATTAAGCCTAAGTCACCAACTTCTGTCAAATTTAAGTTTTCATCCAAAAAGAAAAGTAACTAACTTCTACAGATACAAAATATAGCCTCCTGAATATGAAAGACTAACAATCAATTCTGTGATTTCTTCAGTCTGTAAAATATTTCCATTTCCACTGTGCATGTCTCTAACAGGACAAAAGCAAAATGATTAAGACATCCAGTCTCAGACTCCTTACTGTACTGCAACTCAGGAGATGTGCAACCAGCAATCCAAGTACCACAGCCACTGCCTCCAAAGCTCCCTACTCCCCCTCAGTTTCTCATGCTGGTTCTCATCAGTAAATAGGGTTCTTTCCAGTCTTCACAACTTTCTGTTTTATTACAGATTTCAAAGAGAATAATATGTAAAAAAAAAAAAAAACAATTAAGGAAGGAAGAAATACTGCAAGACTAACTTTCATGAGTAAACTAATTATTTGTCATGAATAAGTAAGAAACTCTGTCTGCTTTTGGTGCAAGAAAAACTTAAGTTATTTTTAAAACAGAGCAGGATCGGTTTTAGTGAAGGGACTATATGATATGGTACTTCCAATAGCCAGAAACTTGATGACCCCAAAGTCTCCTCCAATCCAAACCATAACTGTGCATCTCCTCCAACCAATATTCAATTCTTTTTTTTATATAAACTTTTCTTCCATCTTACCTGGTACTAAAGTAGGTCTGTATAGTTTGTAAGTTCTATGATCATTTCTAACTTATTTTTAAAAAGAAAAAAAATACCATAACTACTATTTTCTAGCCCTTTGGCACAGTAGCTGGTTATAATTATGTTTTCATGCATTGTCAGTTAATTCAATTTTCAGCTTCTTCAGAACTTCAAAAAATACAAATCTATCCATGATCATGTACTGTCTCAGAAGTAATTGGTACAACACATGAATATAGAATATTGTGAGATAGCTTTATTGAATTTTCACTCAAAATATACAAGGTTTTATAGATTTTCCAAGTGAAAAGAAGTTAGGCAGTAGCTCCCATCAAAGTTAACAAAGAAACCCACCCTAAATTGCCCTTCCAAAAGAATGTACAAACCTATTTCCTCACAAGCGCAACTCTGAGAAAGAACAACTTAGGGAAACCTGTTAAATAGGTATTTCTGCCAGGCTTATCTACGTTTTCCACTTTCTGCCACACCTGTATAATTATACAGCGCTTTATTTTTATTGGAATAGACTAACTTCCCAGTACTGACAAGTCACTGTGTTTGCATTTCAAACAACCTCAACACCTAACTGTAGCCCTGTCAACTTTAAAACAAAATTAGTTTCTCCAAAACTCACAAACTGTAAAATAGAAGAAGAATGAACGAGAAAGAAAAAACAATACCTGGGCTTGTTCACCATTTTCTTCATATCCACTTTGATTGTGAGCCGCTCCCTCCTAGAGTTGACCTCTGACATTTTCGTATCTGAAACTGTATGATGTGTATCATGCTGGCTATTGGAAGAATCTACTTTTTTCCTGAAATCCCCTTCTTTCCTTACTCTTTCCTTCTGTTTGTTAAAGGGTCTCAGATCAACATCACTTTTGTAAGAGTTAGCACATTCATTGCAGCCTTTCTTTGAGCTATATTTAATGGGTACTTCAATATGCCCCTCTTCAGTCTGTCTCACTCTTCCACCACTAAAATAATCTAGCTCTTTGCTATCCCGAGCACCCTTAGAAGAATTATATTTTTGCTCTTCCTGCTTTACATACTTCTGAGCTCTATCATCTGCAAATGATTTTTCCCCATCTGGCTGTCTATGACGTTTGTGACTATATTCATATGCCGTCTTCATAACAGAACTCTCTGTGTACTCCCTTTCAGCAGGCCGATGAACTTGGGGACCAAGGGTTCTTTGTTCCTCCTTTTCTTGGTAGAGTGGAAAAGAACGATCATCCTTCCACTTGGGATTTCTTACTTCTCCACCGTCATACCTCTCCATTTCTTTAGCCCTTTTAGACGTGTGCCCATATTCTCTGTAATCCCGATCCTCAGGATACCTGTGTTGACATAAAGCAATTTACACTTGCACTAGAGAAGAAAGTGAGAACTTATATGTGAAGAATGTTGGACAGCACGGCCTTATATGCGGACTGTGTGGGAAGTTAACCCATAATCCCTCCAGCCAATGTACAGAAGTGCAGGGGCTCTTAAGAGGGAAATTATCCTTTTATAACTTAGCCAGTAACATGATTTACTTAAAAGATACATACTCCACTACCACCAGTCACCCACAACTAAACTACAAACTGGCATATGCCTTTCAAGGTGGAAATCTTCAACTACAATGAAAACAGACTCACTTGAGGCCTTATGCCACATTACCCAGGTTTAATTATTGTATTCCTATACCTCTTCTGTAAAGAGCTCCTTGCTGTAAATTCTTCAGAAACTCTTCTAGGTGACTGACCATACTTGTCTTCATGTAGCCTCTGGTGCCTCAAGTCATCTTCATACCATTTTCTTTCAAATTTACAAGAATCCCCTAATGGTCTATAAAAAGGTTTCATTCCTTTTTCATTTCCAGTGACTCTGTAGTGCTCAGGCACATATCTATCTTCCATTTTGTGCGAGTAAAAAGGTCGATCATGTTCTTTGTATACTATTTCTGAGTATTTGGGTGGTAACTGGTATCTCCTGTTGCTTTCACTCCTTTCTGATGAATGTGTTCTATAGGGTTTATGACTATATGCATCTTCTAAAGGAATTCTTTTTAGACTTGGTGAAGGTGACCTATGTTCATAAATCCTGTGGTGGTTATTCCCATTAGGTGCAAATCTAGAATTGCTTTGTCCATATTTTCCATCTTCTGCTCTCCAAGGCATAGATTTCTTCAGGTCCCTCCTAAAGCCCTTATATTCACAGTTGTAATTAATATGAGCATGCCTTTGCCTATGGTGTTCTGGACTTCTAAATGCTGGCGATAAGGACCTATGTAAGGCAAAAAAGATTATCCTATTTTAAGCATTACAATAAAATTGATAGGTATATACACATTCAAGTAAGAATATATTCTGTACAGAAGCAACACGCATTGTTTTAATGCAACTATACAGTTCAAAATTTATACACAAGCTAACATATTAAAAGTTACAATTTCCACAGATCACATCAGTCAGAAAAGTCATGGAAAAAGGCAAATTTGAATAAACTCTGAAAACTTACAGAAGGGGAGAAAAAAAACAACAACATTTAATTGGGTGGATTCTTTATTTCAGACATTCATATAACATCTTCTACCTCTCCCATTAGATCCCCAGACACTCAGAGGACACCACACTGTGCTCTGAGAGATGTAATTCAGTCAGGGGTTGGAGACCAGTCCCCAAACCAAATCTCATAAGGTAATGGACCATGCTGGGGAAATACACTTCGTAAGGTTACTGTTAATGGGAGGTAATTGCTGGTGTCACGAGAGCCAAGTAGATCAATAATATTATTCCTGTGAATATTATTTCTCCTGATCCTCTATTGTGAAATTGAATAAAAATACTGCACCAGAATAGTAAATTCACACAACTGAACATTCAAATACTGTGCATCTCATGACAAAATAAAATGGCACTTAGCCATTGAAATAAATGCATTATGTAATACCTTACGTAAAATATAACATGTGAAGTGAGCACGTTGAATTAAGTTTGAAATCAATCTTTCATAAAATGTCCCAAAAAGGTTAATGTAGAGCTGTTCAGAGCCCCCAGAGATTAATTGGCTAAAGGCCAATTAAAAAAAAGGTCACTCAAAAGAATCAGAGAGTAACAATATCAGTCTGAAGTCAGGAAGAAGTCAGGGCAGGGCAACACCTTAAAGACTGAGGGCTTCAAAGAGTCATAAGCTTTTGCTCATCCTGCTTCATCAGATACGAGAACCAGAAGACCAGGAAGCAAGCCCAAAGGAAAGCAGTTTGCATTCAAACTAATTAGTTACCAACTATTCACTGCAAACCTGATAAACTTGAAAACCTTGATAAAACACTTGAATAAATACAAACAGATTCAAAGAAATCCTTCTCAGTGACTATTCACTAAGCAATGGCATAATTTATTGTCAATTAGCAGATGAATTCCTGAACCCTGACTTTAGACTCAGGACAGAAAACCCATTTTGGTAAGTATCTGCATAACCATAATGGGTTACAACAGCTGAAACTGATGGCATGTGCCTCAGCCCACTCCTCATCAGGGAAATCTCAAACCACTAAGCAAGTAAATAATTTTTTAAATGCTAGTATAACCTACCAAACAAACTATGATGATACAGTGCATCAGTGCTGATTTGTTAATCAAGTAAGAGAAAGAAAATGGAAATAGAATTTTGAAATGCCCCCAATTAAACTGGTGCCATCCAATCTACATTACTCCTGAAGGTACTCTTAGTGGTAATCAAGATTTACCTCCACCTTTCATATTATGCAAAAAAAAAAAAAAAAAAAATCAATTTATGGAACCACCTTACTTTGGAAAAAATATATTATGCATTACAAAATAACAGGTTTTGTAAACCATTCTGCTTGAAATTTATTTTTTAGCTATCATTTTCTCTTTCTTTCTCTTGTCCCAGAAATTTCAGAACTCTTTTGTGAATTCTTATGTTTTATAACATACCTTTACATAAACAAACATAATAAAGTTAAAAAGTTACCTCTGTTTCCACCTTGGTGATCTTGATCTAGACCTAACCATCTTTTTGCAAATTACGCCAGTTTCTTAAAGCTGTTAAAAAAACAAAACACAAAAACTGTGAATTTGCTAGTTAGAGCTTTAATATAGCAGGTGATCACTGTTTCTAAAACAACCCAGTCATCAGGAAGACACTTAAAAATATATACAACCTGTACATAAAAATAGACACAATCTACTTTTAAATTATTATTTTTTTTAATTTTCATGGGAAAAGTGATGTTTTTAAGTAGCATTATGAAAAAAACATTTTTCTTTAAATTAGTGTCACTTCTATTTAATTAATTGCATAAATAGCCAATTTTCATCTCACAATTTGATGATATGATTAGCAGTTGTTTTCTTCCAAATGCTGATAAAACAACTAACCTGTAACTGAAAAACTGAATTATTCCAAATCAGAGTCAAATGCCAAAAATGATAAATAAAGGAGAAGCATTTGACATATGAATGAAACTGAATTTACAAAGAAGGAAAATACAGCAAGAATCAATGATCAATATATACTGAACTTCTCTTTAGTAGCTGCTGAGGAAGTCTGCATTAAAACATAATTACGTCTCCTTTAAGAAATTAAACTATGTTGGGTCTTAAACAATGTTATACAGTGCAGTTGAAGATGTTACAATTTATCAAACAGGGACAAATACATTACCAAAATTATTTGGAATTTCTGTACTTTGGTTTTTATGTCCCGATATGTGCATATATGTAAACAAACATACAGATGATAAGCTATAAAAAGATGTTTCCCCCTTTATTAATCAGCAGATGCATCTACACATTCGTTAATATGCACTTAAGTATCTCCGATGTAAGGTACTAAATTAATGGGCATTAGGCTGTGCAAATGGACAGTATCCCATTTGCATGCTTTTTTAGTGATGCTTAATGAGCAGGAGACTATTTTACTGCACATTAGCATAATGTCACTTTTTTTACGAGATGCTTTAATGCATAGCAAAATAGTCTATTGCGCATTAAAGGGCACATGTAGATGTGCCCACTCTACTATAGAACTTGACTCTCTCTACAAAACTCAATAATCAATAACTACATTATTACTTGTTTATTTCTACCTAATCAAACAGAACGTTGCTGTCTTTGCAGGGGCCCAAAAGCATTTGATTATTTCCAATTACTGCCACTCAGCAGTAGGATATACAGAATAGCTCTAAGGCAAACCAGCACTACAGGCACTCTGCTATTACAGTAACAAGGAACCTTATAAAAGCGTAGAAATGACAGTACATGTATATTTATGAAAATCAGCATTTCCTTGTTTAACTGGATCATAATCTATGTACCAATTAGCAACACAAAAAAATTATACTAGAACTTTATTTTATAGTATACCAGAATTTCTCAAACTGGGATCCACAATGAATTTCATGATGGGAATGAGCAGGGAAACAGAAACAGGGAAAAAAAAGTGACTATGAAGAACAGCTTGACAATACCTCTCAATCTTATGCTTCTGAGGAGGTTACGCTGTGGTTGCAGTGATAAAGTGTTCTTTTATTAGTCATAACATGGAATCATCAGGGCACACAGCAGAATAACCAATTTAGGAAGGGTATTTATTTTTAGGTGTAATACCCAAAAATGTTTGAGTGCCTCTGTAATATACAAATGTGATTTGTAAAAAATATATAAAGAAATATTAGCCTTTTGATGAGTTCTTCCACGCGACATGAAGTGAAGCTGTAAAAACTGCAGCCTAAAACAGGAGGGTGGGGGGATGAAAGCTGGTGAAAGGATCTGGTGGTGTCTATAACTGGAGCAGAGACAGCAACATATACTTGAAGGCAAACTGTCTAAAAACAGGTACAAATTTAAAGTTTAGGCTTGGTCTGATTGTTTACTTCTAGTCATGTGCATGTGAGTCATGCAACTAAGACTACAGACATTTATATAAGATATGTTTGCATTTGAAGATTTTGTGGCTTTGAAAATCTGCAACACTTTCACTCGCACTGAATACCACCTTATTCTACAAAGTCCAACCAACATCAGTGATGCAGCCTTAAGTGATTTCTCATTTGGGCCAATGGAAAAGAAAATCTTTAGAAAGTCGAACAACAAGAAAGCAGAAAACAAACAATACCTTGTTTCATTAACTGACCTCTTCTTTCATAGAAAATCTCAATCCAACAATCTTTCCAAGGGTTTCTCCTCATCACCTACCCTGACCAACCAAAAAGCACGCAAAAGTTTATGTTCCCAAGTCACCACACAGAGCATGGTAAGACTATCAAACTGAAAAAGGCTTAGTCAGGCCCTAAAAAGTCTTTCCATCCAGATCAGCAATTTTGGAAGTGTGGGAAATGTGTGACAGCACATCCTAAATTTTGCCTTGGGTTACTGCTAAATGATTAAGAGTTTAGGAACTCCTTTTGCCTTGTGGAGAGACACTGCTCATATACTTCAATACAACCTTTAAAAAAATATCCAAAAGTCAAGCAAGCAACCTGGCCTCCTAACAGTGAGATTCAGGAGACAAAATGGAAAGGATATAGAGAGGCAAAAACAAATGGACACCTTACTCCCAATTCACCTAACTGATTTCTGCGGAAGGACACCAAGTAGCAAGCCTGTCTGTATAAGGACTATTTGAGCCAAATAGTTAGACAATGCATAGATCTTAAAAAGTTGACAAGGCTTATATCTTTCTTTAATATTAATTAATTTGTCTCCTTGTTGCTGACTCTAGTCAGATAAACACCCATACACTTTTAATTACATAGTGAGATCACTTGCACCATATAGTCAGGATTTGATTGTATCCCCCACTCTCTCTAGCATAATCAGACCACTATGGTGACAAAGGGATATACTTTTAGGCCTGAGAAAAAGTACCCCCTGGTCTTTTATTTCTGATATTCCTCTTCTCTTCTCTCTCTGATTTCAATTTCAAAAGTTGATCATGTGTCCAAAAATATGAAAATATATAATAACTATACAATTTGTTTAACAAGAGTTGAAACTCTTTTTGCATAGAAAAAACACTGAGAAAACAGTGATGAATTTGTGCTACAATTTAAGTCTTTAATTCTTATGTTTAACACAGCAGAAACTGCAAAGATATTAGCAGGAATTATGTACAATTCACAGAATTTAAGCCCTTAAAATCTTTTAGCCTGACCTCCTGTATGCATCAAGCCCTTAAATCTCACCTGATTATCCCTACTGAGAAGGGCTACAGTCAGCCTTAAAAACAACCCTGATACTATGATAAAAACAGGCTGATAAGGGAGTGCCACTACTGTCATGGACAAACCAGTATACATACAGGAAAGAAGCAGACAGAGAACTTCCCCAAGTGGAATTTTACGAACTCCTGACTAAGGACGCTACAGCACAATACCAGGGGGAACAACAATCTTTTAAAGGACAATACAATACTTCTGGAAACAATTACGGCTTCCATCTCCTGGGAAACCAAGGCAGGCAACCTGTCTTTACTATCCAAGATCCACAGACCTTGCAACCCAGAGCACTCCACTGTCTCAGGCACTGGCACTATCACAGAGGGAAGTTCTGGCTACATTGACTATCCTATTCTCACATGCCACTGGAGCTGGCAGCAACTGGCAAGATACCACAGATTTCCTTAAGAAATGAGACTCCACTGGCAAGCTTTCAGCAATCACCTATTAGCTACCATGGATGTCACATCACTGTACACCAACATCACCCATGAGAACAGAGTACAAGCCATAAAGAACATTATTACTGGTGAGGACACTACTTCTGTTTCCATCACATTCTCCTACTTCATGATCACCCACAACTACAGCATTTCAGATCTGGGGATCCCCTTATACTTACAAACTTCACTACCATGGGCACATACATGATTTCCAATACGTTAAAATATTTCTGAAGGCCTTGTCTGTTTCCTGTGCAGTTGCCTTCTCGTCCCCCTAATATACCTTAAGGCAGAAGTTTCCAAACTTTTTCTTATGGCGCACCCCTTCCAGATATAGTAGCTGCCTGCATACCCCCACCAGCATATGTTTTTATATTTTAACCCCTTCAATGCCAATTATTATTATTATAAACATTCAATCCACCATTACAGAATTTCTCCCATATACCCCCCAAGAGATGTCTTGTGGTACCCCCAGGGGCACACATGCCACAGTTTGGGAACCCCAAAGCTACATCAACACCTTCATTGTATAGATGCATGGAAAGCAATTTCTTAAGAGAAATTTCACCCCTTCATTGAACTGACTGTAAAATACTCCATCCAGCATATTCATCATAGTGAAAGTCTGCTATGGTCATATCACCACCACACTATCAGAAACCAACTGACCGCTACAGCTACCTGATTGCAGTAGCTCTCATTCTCAGTACACCACTAACTAAAGCAGTGGTTTTCAACCTGCAGTCCACAGACCTCTGGGGGTCTGCATACTGTGTTTAAGGGGTTCGCGAGAGATGACTGTGATAATTGAAAAGCATGTGCATGCCAACCCTTACAATTCAAAGGGGTCCATGCCTCCATTCAATTTTTTTTAGGGGTCTGCAAATGAAAAAAGGTTGAAAGCCACTGGTCTAGAGACAAGTTCTACATCAGGGATGTCAAACTCATCCAGCCCCACACACCTAGATGAGGGTCACTAGGACAGTTCGTGGGTCAGACTGGAACCACACCCCAGAGACAGCACTAATGGCCAGTGTTGTATGTAATGCAGGCCCCATGGCAGCCCACTGTGCCACTTGCAATGCAACTGGTTGAACCAGATCAGGGCACTACAGACAGCACACACTAGCCCCACTCCAGGCCTTATGCTGCATGTGGCACACGGGCTGGACAGCATCACAGGCATTGCATGCAATAGAGAGGGTCAGGCTGTATGTGGTACCCCCAATGGACCAGCCCCGAGTGCTAGTATGGTCCCAATCCGGGTTAGCAACCGTTGTCTGGCTCTGCCAATGTGCATGGCTAGTCTGGCAGGCACTGCATGCAGCACACCCCCCGGATCCAGCCTGCATATTGGATTGGCTCTGCACATCGCATCTGGTACACAGGGTCAGCTTAGGTTGGAGAGGATGGATCACACGGCTCCACAGGCCAGATCCGGCTCACAGGCTACGTTTGAAGCACCTGTTCCACGTTACATCTGTATCTGCTCTGATCCATCAACTTCAACACGTATCTTAAGAATCTGGAGCAGGGATTCCTACACTTCCAATACAATCCCAAAACTGAGGCCACCCAAATCCACTGGGCCAGACTCAGACCTGCTCCAACCTGCTACAATACCAACCTCAGTTTGAATACCTTGGACACATCATTAAATGATTTCCAACCCCTCCTGAAAAATAAGCCACCATCTCAAGATGGCCATGGGAACAAATCTGTTCTGGCTTACAGACATCCACTAACCTCAAAGAGGATCTTTCCAGCAACAAAGTACCTAACTCCTATTCTCACTGAGGCACCAAACCTTGCAACAGATCCAGATGTCACTTGTGTGGATCCCCTTCATGAACACAGACCACATCATTATGGACCAACTAAAATGGATTCTATAACATACGAGATTCATTCATTTGCTCCTCTTCCAATGTCATAAGTCATCACCTGCTTACAGTGCTCCTCTGATGTCTATATTGGGCAATCCCAAAGTGAAAGAATGAACGGAGACAAAACTGACAATAAGTCTAGAAATACATAAGAGCCCACAGCAGAACACTTGAACCTCCCTGAACATTCCATTGCTGACCTCATAATAGCTGTTCTTAAACAACAGATTTTTTAAAACGGACTTGAATCGAAAACTTCAAAGCAAAAAATGCACAGACTGGATTGTGTTAAGGATGGTCTAAACAGGGACTACAGATTCCTACCCATTCCTGGATTCTTTTGTGACACTCATAACCCTACTGGTCTACTGCTTTTTCTCCTCAACCCTCTTGGCCTCTCTCAGCACTTTCCTTTCCCTCTCCCAGTCCCCGTCTATTATAGTCAAATCACTATTTGATAGCCAGTTCCCTGTTTCATAGCATCTGACAAAGTGAGCTGTGCTGAAAGGTTATACATCTTTGATCCAATTAGTCTATAAGGTGCCACTCTACCTTGCCTTCAGCTTGAAAAAGCAATATATATCTAGTGGAAGTATGTACATCTAGAGATAGGGAATCCACCTCTCCCCATTGACATCTGTTCCATCAGCCTTGTTAAAACTTGTGCCTCATTTCCAATTTAAATTTGTCTACCTCCTACTTCCAATCACTGGTACTTGGTTAACCCTCTCTACTAAATTAGAGAAACTTTTAGTAACTAATATTTTTTCCAAGTAACGATACTTTTATTCAGTAATCAAGTTCTCTCTCAGCCTTCTTCTTATGAAGCTGAACAGATTGGGCTGACAGTCTCTCACCCCAAGGCATTTCCTCCGTTCCCAGAACAATTTTTGCAGGGTTTTTCCCCCACACCCCTCTTCACCCCTGCCAGTTTTTCCACATACTTTCTGAAGTGTGGAACAGTACAAAGTATTCCAGTACTACCCTCACTGATGCCTTTTAACTGGAGAAGGGAAAGAAAGGGGGGGAAGGTGGGCACCATGCATGGTAGATACAGTATATACATCTTTGCTTCCACTCTATGTTTATTTAAA